CCCTCCCCCCCCAAGCCGAGCCGGCGGGTCCTCTGGGCACAGCCCGGCCCTGCAGCACCACCCGTCAGGGAGGCAGGAGAGACCAGCTCGGAGCTTCCTGGGGGCAGGTCGAGCCCACCAGGCAGGGCCCACAGCGTCTGGAAGCCTCCTCGTTGATGCCCTACTGGATCTCTTAGTCAAACTACTTCTTATCGTAGTTTGCCATGTTAACTCTACCAGCTAAAGAGTAGGAATTCATGTTTGGAAAGAGTTTACTGTGAGAACCCCATTGAATACAAGGTTCTTAGCTAGTATGTCCTCTATGCCCTGAACACATTAACTAGGCTTTCTTCCCCTTCAGAGACAATGGCCTGCTCATTTCACCCTTTGCATTTTCTAATAAAAGCCTTTTTAAAAAAAATATTTTCAGAAGGTCTAACTGACCTCAGCACTTCAAGGATTTTATTATAATTAGTACTAGAATTAGGTCTACATTTCAGAATGGCAGAAAACCAGCAAACTATCCTAATTCTTTCTTAGTTTTGAGTCTATTTTAAATGAACACCTTCTACTTCTGCAGCTTCACGTCTTCCAGTCAAATCAGCAGCATTTCACACCAAGAGAAGAAAAGAAAAAGAAAGTAATGTGGCTGAAGCACACATCTGCATTACCAGATCCTGCAAATTAAGGAAGGTTAGAGTTCAAATGAATGACAGTTTCTTAAAAAAGCCCTGGAGCATTCTTAATTCCAGATTGGATTCGGCTCAGCACAACTCATGCTAACATAATACTGTTCCAGTTTGTGGGAATAAGGAGGGGGAGGGACAGTTGCATGTTTTCTCAGTTCATGTTTAATGTATTTCTGCTGGATGAAGACGAGCTGGCAACTTTCCAGGAATTCAGGTTGGTATTATTAGTATTACTATCTTTAAAGGGCTGGCACTTCGTTTTAGCAATGATATTAGTGATAAATACAAGAGTTCAGATTTCCCTAACCAACTTTTTCAAGTGTCTGGAGCTATACAAAAACTCCATACCTACTTCAATTTAAAACTGAATCTTGTGCTAGTACACCAATTATTTATTAATTGTACATAGTACAATAAATCCTACAATGTATTGATGATGATGATAATACAGGTTTAACAAACTATTGCATTCATCCAGTATGGATTTATGTAAGCCACATTTTTATAATAAGAAGTAAGCCAGTGTAAAAATCCATGCAGTTGTTTTCAAAGGTGCTTCTGTTTTTTTTCATGTACTAAGGAAATGCTTTGCTTTTTTTTTCTTTTTGGCAAGGTACACACAATACAAATTGCAGTTATCTCCAGTTCTGTGAAGATTAATTAATAAAAGCTACCTTTGCTTTTTTTCCCCCATGATTAAACATGAGATTGCAAAAAAAGGAAAGACTGTATTCATTAAAGGT